ATGTGGGGACCATGTGATCTGCCTGAGGTGATCAGTATGTGGGGACCATGTGATCTGCCTGAGGTGATCAGTATGTGGGGACCATGTGATCTGCCTGAGGTGATCAGTATGTGGGGACCATGTGATATTCCTAGCCTGTAGTAATCAGTATTTGGGAATCATGTGATATTTCCAGACAGTAGTATTCAGTGTTTGGGGATCTTGTGATCTGTCTGACCAGCTGTGATCCGAATGTGCAAACCATGTGACCTGCCCAGCCTGTGCTATTCCTGACCCTTGCGTGAGCCTCGGGGCGTCACGCCCCCTGGGCTGTGAGTGATTGTGTGTGTTATATCCCCAGCTACATCCCCGCCATGGTGGACCACAGGGCAGGCATGCCCTGCCACGGCATCTTCCTTCTGCACCAGGTATGGCCGATCTGGGGAGCTTTATGTGAGCCTTGGGTAACGGAAAATGTCTGGGTTCTAGAAAGGCTTAGATACCACTGGGCCAGCTCTGTTCGGTCCCACTACTGATAGAGAAGGCTCAGGGGGCTTCACTGCTGCCCCCTATCTGTGAACCTGACACAGTCATTGCAAAAGATCAGCCTGAAAGGGAGTGAGCAGGCATGACGGGCTGTTCACTGGCCGCCCCGCAGGGCATACAGAGAAGAATCACGGTGACCATCGTCCATGAGTCCGGGAGAGACATCGAGTGGAAGGAGGTCAGGGAACTGGTTGTAGGTGAGTGGGGTGTGGGAGAATCACGCCATGTATCGCCTCTGTGCCTCTGGGAAACATGACATAACATCTGCCCCCCCCCCACTCCCACAGGACGCATTCGCAACACTCCGGAGGCTGATGAGACCATCATCGACCCCAACATTCTGTCCCTCAACATTCTCTCCGCTGGCTACATTCGCCCCAAGCTGGATGACAGGTGTGCTTCTTGCCTTCATTTCCTCGGGCCTGACTTGTCAAAATGCGTTTAGGAAAATGCCATCCAGTGGCCATTCTACAAAAAGCTGACATTTCTCAGTATGAATGGCAATAAGACAGGGTTGGGAATTCTGGAATGCATTCATCAGTTCTCATCCAAATCAGGAAATGGATCCGGAGTTGGGATCGGAAAACAAATTCACTGGTACACAAGAAATTCAAATTTCAAGGAGATTTAAATTCCAACTCCAGTTCCATTTCCTGATTTTGATTTGAATTGATAAATTCATTCAGGATATGTGATATGAAGCCATGTGATGTTCTTTAGCTGTGTCACTGTGTAAAAATCTAAAGAATTATATTAATTATAGGAATCAATATTATTAATTATTAATATTAATGCTAACTAGGGCTGCATGAAATCACATTACTATCAAAAGTTAATAATCGGTATAAATTTGGTGTATCATTATGTTTAATTCACCACCAGTTCAGTGCTTATCATTTACATGATATACCAAAACAGTAGCATTTGGCGTGCTCTGCTAACCAAATTTAATAAACATAAGGATATGCTGAATTTATACAAATTACTAGTATAGGTGCCATAATACGGCTGTCATGAATGGTTTAGGTGTACTACTAATCTGCTAAACAAATTGTGGGCATAACTAAAGGCCCGTAAGTACCGAAAAGGCAGCATCCAGACAAATGTTTACGGCTGTCATCCAAAGCCCCAGTGATTATTGCACATTCGCCACCTAATCGCAATTATATCACGATGTGGTATCGTGCAGAAAGGGATGCCATTACCCACCCCCCCCCCCCCCCCCCCCCCCACACACACACACACACACACACACACATTAGTTAAACAGCTGCCCCCTCCCAAGGTCCAACCACTCTGTCCCCAAGGCCTCCATCACTTTCCGGCCTCACCCCTCCCTCGCTGGTGACCGGCTGATGTAGTCTCGCCGCATGCAGACACTGATTGGCCACTAGCGATGACAGTGTCACGGCGTCTAACCAGAAGGATGTGAGAGCGTGATGCCCGCTCGGACCTGTGCCATGGCAGGCGGCCAGTTCTATGCCACGTTCGCCCTCTTAGTTCACTAACAGACTGTCATTTTGTGTCTTTACAGACAGGTTCTTGATTTGGATTTGCCTAGGTATTATTTTCATCTCCATGCCTTTGGTTCTGATGTCATTTCCTCTTGCCGGTCTTTGGGGTCCCTTGGTGCCATAACTCGTCATTACTCCCCCCTTTCTTGCTTGGCCTCACCCTTGTACCTTAGTTTTAAGCCCCCTATTAGCTTTTCACCTTCAATGTATCACGGGACTGTTTTTACCACAGTAGCTTGGGATGCCTGTGTATGTTTGCTTTGTACGATGTGTGTCACCGCTGGGGAGGAACCTTTGGTCACCTGACTTGCATGATGTGCTTGGCCTTCTCACACTGAAGGTCTGGCTGGCTTTTTCTGCAGGAGGCCTGTGTGTTTCCTAACTAGCTGTGGTTCACTTAGACTTGAAAGGCAGATCTGACTATGAGCACCCAAGTAGAGAGTATTTATCCTAAAATATCCAAAGCTTTGTGGACATACAGCATTTCATCTAAAACTGTAGCCCTTTAAATCTCACCGAAATGATGGATTATGTCAAATATGGCTAAGTCAACTGGGCATTTAAGTCACTTATATAGTATGTGTACAAAGTATACAGAGTTTCACCTTCACTTTCTTGATTAGGCTGTTTCTTGTAGGCGTCCGGCCTCGTTAAGCTCCTCTAGCTGACCTTCTCATTCGATCACGGAGAAGCAGCAGCTGGAGCTGGGAATGAATTTCTACTAAAAATGTAAATGTAAATATATTCCAGATGGCATCTGTCATTCATCTGACCGTGGGGCATATTGGAATACAGTCAAATTCATATTCATGTGAGGTGCAGAGCATCAGTAGGCTAGCATGTGGTTATTTTCAGAGAAACAGTAGGGATTCGCGCTGAGAGGAGATCAGTCATGAAAAAGCCCATCTTTGCTGTACGACCATTAATCACCAAAAATTTACTACATTATATATTCGCAATCTTATTTTCTGGAGCAAAGAAGAAAACATGTTGTGTAGTTTACCACAGTCAACATTTGGTGGGAATCTCAGATATCATAAATCCTCAAAACATTACTTCCAATATATCCCTCACAGAATACTGTCCATCACTTCCTTGGCAACGGAACACAGTGTTAATTACTTAAGAAGCGCAAAGATCATTTCAGTTTATTTAATCTGCTTAACCGGATGTAATAACTTAATGTCTTGATTCCATTAACATAAGTGCACATTCACCAAGTGGATGTTCACCATTATTCTGGTAGTGGTGCTTCTATGCTGTCACTCAGAGTAACGTCAAGGTCAGAAAAAGCTGTAGATCAGAAGAGCAGATGATGAATACAGAACGTACAGGGATCTCTGAGCTTTGGGAGGCTTTCACAGAGCTGTGAGCTGTGAGGGTGCCCCATGTTTCACTGCCAGAAGCTGATGGTGAATGCCTGAAGCCAGGTTCTTCCAGGGCGATGCTTGGTCTCCTGGTCACCTTATCACCCATCATGGTGATTATTACCAAAGTCCAACTTGTTGCCTTCTTAGACCAGGAAGATCCTGACTAAATGTTTAAAGATGTCGCATTTCAGAAACGGCGTGTCAGGTGTGGGATATTTTTTACGAGGTGTAAGGGTGACATGGGAGAAGGATGGGGGGGGACCACTTCATGTCGAGCAGTGGTTGTCAATCTTGTTCCTGGAGGTCCCCATGCCAGAATCCCAATCCACACTGCGTTCAAACTAGCACAGCCATTACTAGCCTATTAAGCACCATCTGAGTCTGATTAAGGTGGGGTTGAAACATTCTGGCAGGGGGTCCTGCGGGAACAGGACTGAGTAGCGCTGATGTAGAGCTACACAGGGAAAGTGTACATGCTGTAGGACTATATCCACAGCCAAACGTACCTCCTGACTCTCAGCTTTGACTCTTATGCTGATTCCTTCTCTCCCACAGCATCTCGTTGGGAATTGACCATAGGTATCTGTCACTATTGTCCTTCCTTCCCTTCCACATCTCTCTTCAGTCGCTCCCCTCGTCCTCCTGTTTGTGCGGCAGCGCTCTCTTTCCCGTTTTGTTCTTTGCCAGTAGAGTCATCCAGTAGAAGGCAAATTGCATGTGGCTGCTGGCTTCCACAACTCTGGCTCCAGTTTTCATGTTATCTGTTGTCACAACTTCATGTTGTTCATGAAAATTGAGCCACGATGCAGCTTTAAAGTTCCTGAAATTGATTGACGGGTCTTTGATTAAGATTCCGGGCAATTTCGTCCGGTAATTAAGGTTTAGTAATTAAATTTCATTAGGGTGTGTTTAGGCAAGTGAATACTAAATGTCTAAATTCCTGGTGAAATTGGTGTCTCTGACGCGTGCAGCAGTTTTGTTGCCGACGGTCATAATTGGAGCAAACGGCCATTTCACATCCTCATAACGAAGTGCATTGTTTCTGTTAAACATTGAATTTGGTTTTATTTGTTCATCTAACGAATGTTTGCATCATGTGAGAAAATGTGGCCAGATTCAATGTGGCAACACAGACATACTCTAAGACCATAATATCTTAATATCTATCTTTAATTTTTTATCCCATAATGTCAGTGACATTCTTCACTCTAACACCGGCGTCGCAACGAATCGCGTGACGCCGGGCCCTAAGCATGTGCCATGGACCTGACTGGGGGTCGACTGGCGAGGCAGCGTTGCCACGGTGATGCATCCATAACGAGCTTCTCCTTGCAATGTTCTGCAGGACCTTCTACCACTTTGAGGCAGCCTGGGACAGTTCCATGCACAACTCCTTGCTGCTGAACCGCGTCACTCCTTACGGGGAGAAAATATACATGACCCTCTCTGCTTACCTTGAGGTGACTCACGCGCCGGACGTCAGGGGAAAGCTGTCCGGACAGCTATTGGCTAACATTGCGATTGTCATTCCCCAATCCAGATGGAGAACTGCACTCAGCCGACAGTGGTAACCAAAGATTTCTGCATGGTATATTACTCCCGAGATGCTAAACTTCCTTCTTCTCGGTCGATCCGCAACCTCTTTGGTAGTGGCGGCCTGAAGGCATCCGAGAGGTGAGCTGCAGCCGTTCCAGTCTCCATTATCTGCTGGTTGCGTGCAAATACATGATTTGTGGGTTTTATGCCTGAAACCAGTAACTGAGCACCTGTCTCCTGTCATTCATGCCTCTAGCAACCGTGTCACAGGAGTGTACGAGCTCAGCCTGTGCCACCTGGCAGATGCCGGCAGCCCAGGTGATAACCTCCATGCCATCTGTGGCACAGTCCGTCTGGCAAGCGGTGCGACGTCTCGTGCCTCACCAGCTGCGTCTCTCCCCCAGGCATGCAGAGGAGGCGCAGGAGGGTCCTCGACACATCGGTGGCTTACGTCCGCGGGGAGGAGAACCTGGCCGGCTGGCGGCCTCGCAGCGACAGCCTCATCCTGGACCATCAGTGGGAGCTGGAGAAGCTCAGCCTGCTGCAGGAGGTTATTATTGTTAGCGTTACACTCTGTATACTGTAATGTCAGTGTATGCAGGTGCAGGGGCATATACAGGGGCGAGGCTGACAGCTGATTGGCCCCCTCCCCTGTCACTCAGCGATTCAAAACATATTATTGGCTAATGATAAGGTTAGCCCCTCTGAATGAATTGTGGCCCCTCTTAGAATCACCTCTGGTTGTCAAGGACGTTATTACATGTCAACACAGCTAAGGGCTCGTCCTTTGACTGCATAGCGGTGTTTATGTTTGCGTGTCTGGCGGATCACAGCAACGTGCGTCTGTGTTCCAGGTGGAGAAGACCCGGCACTACCTGCTCCTGAGGGAGAAGCTGGAGAGCAGCCTGATGCTGGGCCAAGACTCCCTGTCATCCTGCGGCAGTGATGACCTGAGCGACTCCTCTCAGTCCTCGGGCGACAGCAGCTTGTCCGGGCCCAGCTCGGTGCCCAGCGCCCCCAGCGAGAGGCAGCTGGAGCTGGCCGCCAAGGTAAGCGTGGGCTGGTGCTCCCTGGCCTGGTGATGGCGCCATCGTGGGCCGAGCCTTGACCTCTCTGTGCCGCCCTGTCCCCGCAGTGTCTGAAGCTGCTCACTCACACCTTCAACCGGGACTACAGCCACGTGTGCGTCAGCGCCAGTGAAAGCAAGGTGATACAACAGGTGCCGTTCAGCCAGTGTTTGGGCATCATCCTGTCAATGTTCAGTCATCAGTCAGATAATGTTCATGGAACGTTCTGCCAACATTTAGGCAGCGTTCAGTCATCATTCATCCAATGATTCAGCATTCAACATTCATGTTTGCTGAATCATGCTTTTATTTTCTCTTACATATATTAAAATTTATGCCTGATGATTTGATAGACCTTTACAGTCTTGTCAATGAATGTTTGTATTGTAGTCATCAGCCACGTCAGGCCATGGAAAGTTGGACTGCTTAAAATTTCTAGGAAATACTTGAACTAGACTGAAACGTGTTACTTATCGTGAGCTGCATGTGTCTGATGACGCGTCTGAAGCCTGACGGGATGCTTTTTGTATCTTCAGCTGTCTGAGATGTCGGTGACACTCCTGAGGGATTCCTCTGCCTCTGGCCTGAGCACTATGACGCCTTCCTCTACCTGCCCATCATTGGTCGATGGTCACTATGGCAATGCTGAGCCCAGGTCAGTCATTGATTATAGGACAAAGTGCAGTCGCGGGTCCACTTGGTGGAAGTGCACTAGTGTGGAGGTCATTCTGGTTGCAGTACTGATGCTGTCTGATCCTGTCTGTGTGCTCCAGAACCCCAGAACTGCACTCCCGCTCTCTCAGCCCTGAATTCGACCCACTCCTGGAGGGAGATCTGAAGAAATCCCCCAGTGGTGGACCGGAGGCCAAAACAAGAGTTCGCACATTCGTCCCTGACATCCAGGAGATCCGTGTTAGGTTGGGTGACTTTTTATTGTAATGATTTAGAGTAACATGTTCAACTGACAAAAGTGAATTGATGAGTATTTTAATTACATCGTATAAAAACCAGACAGTAAGGAGTTAATTAATCTGAGACAGGAATTCATTGCCAAATGAAATGAAAAATGAAACGGTCCTTTGTTTCACAAGAACCCAAAAATAGACTAAAAGTGAATGTTTTTTGTTGTATTCTTAAGCGAGGGATATAATGCAGTGAACATAATATAATGGTTACAAAGGAACTTCCCCTGAATTTTTCTAGTAAAGCCAAGTTTTTGTTTTCTGAATGAGATTCATAGAGATTGTTGGGGATTATTGGCTCATACCAAGGCCTTAGGTGTTTCTCAATATACATACTTTAACCGTACTTGCGTTCTCATGTACCCGCTTTACATCATCTTCCATCGCCCAAGACCAGGTCCAATACTCAAGAACAGAAGTACAGAGGACAGTAAAAATCCCTGGGTGTCATTCTTGCCCCGCCCCAAATATCAAGGATACATCAGTTGCATCCTTGCCAAACGAGTCCAATCCCATGATTCATTGTGCCCCAAGTTCATTCTTGGGAGGCAAGCTAGCAAGATCGCTCTTGCCAAGACCACAAGTGTGCCCTTTTTCATTCTTGGTATTGAGAAACACCCCTTGTGTGATCCATAGCCCCATCGTATCCAAGAAGGGTTACCTGAACTTCCTGGAGCCCCACACGAACGGCTGGGTGAAGCGCTACGTTGTGGTACGCCGGCCTTATGTCTACATCTACAACACGGAGAAGGACACTGTGGAGAGGGCCATCCTTAACCTGTCCTCTGCACAAGTGGAGTACAGCGAGGACCAGCAGGCCATGCTGAAGGTAAGCTTGCCGAATATATACCTATCTCATCTGGAAACATCTCAACTATCCACATCCTACTACTGGCTTCCACCAGCTCTCCTTTTTGACTGTTTCAGTGAAGTAGCTTCCCTGGATATTACTGGATGTTCTGTTCTTCTCATTAGAATCCAGTAGAAACCCACCATTTCTTGGGTGATATTAAATTTCTACGGCTTTTCTGAAGTTATGTTCCAAGCAGTGTTTTTGTAGTTCAGATTCCGATTCCGATTTCAGGATAGTTTATTTTTCCCCAAATGGAAATTTTGTGTTGTAGTAGCAACTCCCATAACTGAGAGAAACACACAGACAGGAGGCATAAAGGTAAACGTAAGACAGCATTACTTATTCCAGAAATATATATGTACAAATATGTTAAATCTACTATACTACTATTATACTAACCTAGACTGAGATACACCTTTAGTGTATATCTCAGTCTATGAAATAGTGTATTTAATGTGCTAAATAATTGTGAATGTGCTTTGTGGAGAAGACTCCTAGCTGTTCCAACGCAGAGAGGAGTTGTTTATAGATGGTTGCTGTGGTGGGCAGGAAGGAGTTTCGCAGAGCTGAAAGAGTCTCTCCCTGTTGTCTGACCAGCAGGTTGTGTAGGGGGTGTGTGATATTGTCCATGATGCTGAGGAGCTCGTACAGCATTCTTCTCTCCACAGCCACCTGTAGGGGGAGCCCCAGAGCATTACCAGCACAGCGGCAGGCTTCCTAATCAGTCTGTTTGGCTTCTTAGAGTCGCTGGTTCTGATGCCTCTGCCCCATCAGATGGCTGCAAAGAAAATTGCGCTTCCTGTTGTCTCGATTATTCTGCGTTTAGTCACTCATTGGAAGTTTGGCCTAATTGGCTCCTTGACAGTGGAATGCTTGTTCGCAGTTCTCGCTTTCACATGAATGGCCCTTTGGACAAAAGTATCTGGCAAATAAATGCAGAGGACTTGAAAGGAGATGAGCAGCTAGGCCAAGTCTTTGGGGAGATTTAGCCATATTACCAGTTGGGTCAATGGGTCCCTTTATCAGTAGGAGAACAACTGGCATTAGTCAATGGCTGGACTCCAACCTTCCTGTCTGTCAGTGTAAAGAAGCTCATTGAACTTATGTGCTGAGATGGTAGTTTTGCTCTTTGCTGTCCAGACAAGAGATCCATTAGTTCCTCTGCTGCTGGTGTTAGGTCTTCTGCTTGTCGAGCTTCAACAAAGACCATAGTGCCTGTCTTATAAACTCAGACCACATGCCTTTTCTCGCAGACGGCCAATACGTTTGCTGTGTGCACCGAGCATCGTGGGATACTGCTTCAGGCCAGCAACGATAAAGAAATGCATGACTGGCTGTACGCGTTTAACCCCCTCCTCGCCGGATCCATCAGGTAATTAACCCGGCCCTGCATGAGAGGCTTGAATGGCAAAAGGTGATGGTGTTGCATTAATTATGGACTTTTACGGGCACTTGCACCTCACATTACAGTAGATGTTTTCTCTCCCGAGGGAATTTCAACCTACAACCTTTAACTTACGTACGAAGTTGCTATAACCCACTGGAGCTCGCGTGAGGAACATTTTTGCTACCGATGGCTGAAATTCGAGAGTCGCCTTTGGGTCACTGCAGCTCACTGAAATGTTTTTTCTTTGTCTTGTTTGCAGATCAAAACTTTCCAGAAGAAGATCTGGACAGATGAGGATGTAATGTGTCACTCTGCTTCATCAGCCCACAGCGAGTTTTCTCGAACAGATTGATAAAGACTAACCATGTATATAGATCACCTGACTTAACACCCATTACCATGCTATCTCAGCCCCCCCACCCTTCCCACATTCCCAAACCCCCCCCCCCCCACACCTATAAGCTGCCTGTACCCGCACATGCTCAGTTGATGATGGTCAAAACAAGACTGAATGCAAGGCCTCCATCTTTGCTGTGTATCTTGCTTCTGGCGCTGTCATTAATAGGCCAGTTATTTAAACATAGTTTACGGGGACTTCAAGGTCCTAGATTAAGGAAACTTCTGAGTCAGGGGAGCAAAGGATGTTGGTATGGAATGTGTCTTTTCCACTTGGAACTCGTGCAACAGCTCTTACACACTTTCTCATATAATGTATTGACAGAGAATGAGCCCCAATGTCTTTTCACCCCACAATAGTGCGTATGTTAATTTGATGAATTTAGGATTGTTTTTCCCCACCACCGGAACCTCAGCTACCTTAAGAGTGCATACAGAAGCGCTCCCTTCGTGAGAATGTATAACTTCATAGGTGCTTTTGTCAAGTCGAAGTCGGTAAACATCAAGTATTTCCGTGTTAATTTCCCAAGAGCCTCGGTAACCTGCGGCGACATGGGGTTAGACTTCGTACTTGACATCCAACAGAAACACTTGTGTTGCCTGGGAAACACTTGTGTTGTTTTGCCCAGCTCAACTCACTCAGGCAGAAGGATCAGTATCTTTTGACAAAACTGCTTTCGGGCTCGCTAGTATACAATAGTGTCTCATTACTCCGTTACCGATGATTGATGACACCAGTTAGCACCTCCGGTGATCCCGTTATGCTTTTTGGTAGCTTTTTTAAGACCTTTAAAATCAACACCCCCTGTCTTTATGTCGTGCATGAGTCTGGGCTCTCGTTTGTGTCGTCAGATTTTTATTTAACCGCATTAATTTATATAAGCATTTATTTATTTAGAAAGTTGTTTATATTTTTATTGATCTATGAAGCAGTTTCTGCATATAGCACTTTCTGTCACGACTTTCCGTAAGTTAACCAAAAAAGGGTAGGATAAGTGAAGATCATTTTGGCTGCTATGCTGAGTATATAAACTAAATTGTGCTAGTGTTTTCTGTTTCACAAAAATATGAGTCCATAGTCCGAAATAGTTTTAAAGCTCTTGGCTTTCTTTGACCCCGGATAAAACAGACATTACCGTTAATTTGTCTAAAGGCCCCCCCTCCGCCCAGGTAACTGTTACTGACAAATCACTGGCATTGTGTGGCGTTGCATCCTTTACTCTCCCCTTTCATGCACAAAATAAGATACAATGGAGGTATTTAGGTTGGTAAAAGTCCGTGAGTAAATGTGTACCTGCAAGTGAAATCTGTAGCGTAGCGCCAACCCTTTTGGTCATGCCATGAGCATTGCTTTTGGGACAACACACGTTCTGCTGGTGTGATCTCCACTGCTTGCCTGTCTTCTCTTTGATAGAGAAATATACACTTTTTTTTCTGTAAAATATAGTGTAGATGTAATGCACTGACTGTGCCTCTTTGGAGTCTTTGAGTTGCAAATGCAATTTTAGGGTATCTTAAAGTGACGTGTATAAATTACAAATCTAGACAGCTACTTACTGGTGTCACGCTAGGGACACATAAACTCATGTACTGTACTCAGCCTTGTTTTTACTTCTGAGAAAGGAGGGAGCCAGCTTTCACGGTTCCGAGTTTCCCACCTCACCTTAAACTCTTTGGCCTGTCCGTCTTGGTTTTCCATTTCAGTTTTTAATGCTTCGAAGAGTTTTTGTGTTGTCTTCCTCCTATAAAATCCAGCCGAATGTTCTTAGATCTGTTTTTTGTTGTTTTTTTTTTTGGAAAGCTTCCCAAAAAGATGCTGTCTACCAGAACCCACTAACAGTGTCTGTCCCTTTCATCATCTGACTACCCTGTCCAAACTACAACTTCTGGGCAGCAGAACTGGAAACTGCTTAATCTGAAGGTCTAGAAAAGCACTCCGGCTTTAAGAGAGAGAGTAATGACTGGTTAAGGGCATTGTCGTTCCCATCTTGTTGACTTTTGAGATCTCAGCAGGAAGCTCAGACAGTAATGTTGTGTATTTGGATATCCCAAGGGTCATACAAACATACATGCTGCATTCTACTGTGCAAACATGCCCTTGGCCAACCAACCATTGGCATGTTTTGAGGATTGCTACTTGTATGTTTCCATAGTGACACTGATGTCATCTGGTGCGAGTCATGTGGTCTTCCAGCAGCACTGGGTATTTGGACATGCCTTGGGCCAGCCAACCTACAGAGCATGTTAAGAGAGGTAACAGAAAGCATTGCACCATGGGATATCCAAGTCAGCATAACTGATATTAAGTCAGATGCGTGAAGTTTATCTAGACCTTTCCTGTGCAAAACTAGACATTCATTGATAAGATATGATTAAAAGACTTGGTGGGACATTTCTCTCAAAAGGATGAGGATTCATAAGTTTTTATTCACACTTTTGTATCATTTACAGTTGCTGGGAGACGGCGTGTTGCTAGGATAGGCCATTGATTTAGGGTTAGGTCTCAGTAGTTGGACCATCCTGTTAAGACCACTCATCTTTTTAAGCTCAAATTTGCCTGAACGTTTGTTTTTGCTTTGAAATATATGTACAGTAGTGTGCTGTGGGTATTTAAATGGTCACAAAAGCTCATTTAACGAACTGGTAGCATTCAAGTTGACTCCCTGTACTTATGTGAATAATGACATGGTGTGAGACCTGCAGTACTTAATACTTAATAAGTGGTTTTAGTTTGCAGGCTAGTACCCGCCCCGGTGTCGACCTACTACAGCGTGTGCGATGGCTTATGTCACGATTGTAATATTTAACGAGCTACACCTGTTGCACCGGTCAGGAACACTGGGATTCGGAGAAGCTCCCCAGAACGTCCTTCTACCCTCACATAGGGTACAACGACATGCCTCGTGTCTTTCCGGTCGTATATTTTTTTGGAGCTAACATTTGTGGCCTGATTTGGTTTGGGTGGGGGACTCCTCTCAGGCCGGTAGCACGAGGTGTGTCACGTGACAGAGTGCGGCCGCGCCCGTCGGACAGTCGACCCCCGCAGCTCAGCGCTTGTGGCCCATTTGATTTCAGGGGCTGCGACGGGCCCATTTGTGATCTGTGCTTTTTTCAACCAGCCGGGCAAGAAATAGTCCCTCAGACCAATCTGAGGTATTTTAGAGGGAAAACGTTTCGCTTTTTAGTTGGGCTCCCGCTCCGGCGGTGCCAGAGCCCCTCGGAGGTGGTGCCAAGCATGTTGGGCCTACGTAGACGCCACTCTCCATTCCTCTCCCCAACCCCCCTCCCACCCCGGTTTTTCCGGAAGCCTCCGCCTCAGTCCTAGTGCACCCCAGTAGATGTATCGACGCTGCACTTTTTAAAATCCCCTCTTCCTCCCCATCCCACACGTAGTTCTGTGCCTCCTTATACAAGCCTCTCTCAGAGGTTCCTTCCTCTCTTAACTCTGTAAACTAAATGCATCTTCATCATACTCCTATCATTTTTCTCATTTTTTTTATTTTGCTATGTATATAAACATGATTGCTGTGGACTGTGTATTATATCGCTCTAACCCGTTTCTACCATCCTGAATGGGCAGTAGTTTATTCCGTGTCTCAGACTATTTGAGTGTTGGAGTGTTGGAGTCTTCAGATGTTGTGTACACTTAACACATTGTCGGATATTAAATAAATGTGAAACTTATGCAACACCGCTCCAGTCTCCTGTGTCACAGCTGTGTGTCTCTGTTGTATTTTTTATTTTTTTTTGCACTTTAAGCTAAGAAATGCCATTGCTTGTGTGGGAGTCTTCTGAAGCCTATTGATGAAGTATGTGAGTTCGGATGTTTCTTAAGCACAGCAAATTTTGCATTGGCATGAGGTCAATAATCTTAGGGTCTTGAAAAGATAACGAACCTCTGATAATCAATAATAGACCAGCATAAAAAAAGATGTAGTATGTAGGCGCTATGTTTTTTCATAGCTTCCTGAGATATAAAAACATGACATATACACTTGTTGATTGAGATCCTCTCCAGACAAACGCAGACACACTTTTGCTCAGTGTTTCACCAGGTCAGTCAGTTTAATTTTACTGTACTATTGCACTTGATCTCATGTTATATTTTGGTGCGGTTATGACTGGTACCAGTTGCATAGGTTTCAAGTCTAATATCACTTCCTCTGACCCAAACCATTTTTTCATAAGTAATTTGAGTTCTCCCTGTATAATAAGACGGGAAATTTAACAAAAGAAATAAAATAATAACAGAAATGTGAGGTTACTCTGCATGGCCAAAGAACGCCATTATGAAATGTCACATCATGGAGTGCTTTGCTGATGTGGCTTCAAACGGTGGTCTGGGACAAAGGATCCGACTGAACCCAGAACACTTTGTGGCCGGTGGACCCAAGGAGTACTGGCCTGCTGTTTTGGATAATGACAGCATACATAACGAATAATGCATTCCTTTCACTGCAGACGTACTGGCTCTTTCATGTAAATCACCAAAGGGACATGTTTCGTCCTTTGTTCATTGTTGAGGGAGGATATTTGTATTGTTTACTATGATGTACATAATGACAGTCTTTTTTCATGTGTTCTTTGAAGCAAATTTACCCTTACATGTAATATTATTGATCTCTAAAGTGTAACGAATGCAAGTTACAAACTGTTTATGGCACGGATTCCCAGTTGTCTCTTTAAACTGTCCACAAGGAAGATCAAAACATATGAGCTCTTTTAAAACGGAACTATAAAGCTGACATCTGTGCCACAAGTACTGTCGAAGTTTGGAAAGTGTTGCTTTGATTACGGAAACTGTTTTGTAAGGGTGTGTAAGAAAAACAAGGTCGGATCAATGGCAAAACGCAGTGTGCATCCTGTGAAGTGATTGTTTTTTGTACCTTATACTCCTGAAGGAATAGACAAAAGATCGTTTGATACCTACTTTCAAAGAGCCTCTTGTATTCCCTGCCTGTCTGCTATACATCTCGTCTTTAAGATGTATCATCTTCTATTACTTGGCCCCCCACAGGTCCACTGGTCTTCTGGCAGGTGTTCAGGCAGCCCCTGTTTCTCGGAATATCAGAGGGGTGGGGGGCTTTTGAACAGTGGCCATTCGTGCCTGATGCCTCTATTGTCCATTTGGTTTGATCTGCCCCCCTGCCTGCCCCTCCCCCCTGTCTCTGGGTGAGCCTCACCTGCCGGCTGCCGCGAGGGTGTCGCCTTTCAGTGCTCGGGGCCTCGCTGCCGCTTCCCACACTGGGCCGGCGCACTGCGGGATGATGGTGCTGCACAGTGCTATCCAAGCGGCTCGTGACGGTGACCTGACAGCCCTGAGGGGGCTCCTGGCTGCGGGCTGCTTGACCCAGGAGATCACGGACCCCCAGGGAGCCACGCCTGTGCATCACGCTGCCCGGTGCGGCAGACTGGACAGCCTCCACTTCCTGGTGGGCGAAGCCGGCCTCGCCGGTGACACGCGGGCGGCGAACGGGGCCACGGCGGCCCACGACGCCGCCGCCACTGGACACGTGGCGGAGCTGCAGTGGTTGGTGCGCCATGGGATTTGCGATGCTAAGGTCAGTAAGGGTGGGGTTCTGGGGGAGCAGCACGGTGCGTGAGAGCACGTGATGGAGGGCAGCTGCACACATTGCAGGAGCAGGACGACTCCGGGGCCACCGCCCTCCACCTGGCGGCTCGCTTCGGCCACGCGGCGGTGGTGCAGTGGCTGCTGTCGACCGGGGATGGAGCAGAGCAGGAGACGGCCTGCGGGGCTCTGCCTGCTCACTACGCTGCGGCTAGGGGGGACCTCACCTGCCTGAAGCTGCTGCTCCAGCAGACCCCGCAGTAAGCCTGAAAAAGTTCTTCTTGAACTCCTTCCCAAACCTCTGAGGTCTCCTGGATAGAGTAAATAACTGAAATCGATCTGTCCTGAAATGAAATCCAAAGGCTATTTATATTGTATTAAATCTGGAAAATGAAATTCATATTTCTTGTATGAATTTTGCTAAACAAAATTCACCATTTCACGTTCCACAAGCTTCTATCCACCTCTGAATTGTTTTTGCAGTTTGCTAAGCCACTTAGATGCACCTACTGAAAGGACCTCCTTCTGCCTCATTGGCCAGTAACATTAGCTCGCTTATGATGATAAAATGTATGATTACAGCGCATTGTTTACCAACGGCGCCTCTGTAAGGAAGATCTGGTAGGATGAGACCTTCTCTGGGCATAACAAGCAGCGGGGATGCTGGGTAGGCAAGTCTGAACATGTCTGATGACAAAAATGGTTTTGTGACCCTGGGAGTCAGTTCTGACACCGGTGTCAGTTTCACAAACAGCCAACAGCCTCTACTTTTCCAGATTTTTGGGGGTTTTCGGTAAAATACGAACCTCCAGTATTTTCTTCAAATATTCAAGATTGCTTTATTTGTCACATACATAATTGTACAGGTACAACATGTAGTGAAATGAATTGTATCCTGATCAACCCGACCATACATATACAAACAGGAAGACAGGAGATATAGAAAGAACAGAGGAGATAGGAGGGGAATAAAAAAACAGCCCCCAGACTGTACTCCAGTAGGGAGGACATTGTAGGAACCGAAAAAAACACATCAGCAACGTAAGCACATGGTCAGTACACCAACAACGTAAAAAGTCGTGACTTGCAACAGGGGAGGGAAATGGGTAGGTGGAGGTAGCCCAGCATAGACAAACAGCCATCCGGTCCTGCAGCCAGAGGCGCTGGTCACAGACCCGCCTGTTCACGCTGGGGGTATGAAGCGGCGAAGGCGCGGGTTGGGGGGAGGGTGTGGTGAGTGCGTATCTGTACGTATGTATATGTGTGTGTGTATCCAGGTGTCCTTGGGATTGGGGGAGAGGAATGCAAGAGAGTCTCACTGCCTTGTTCTTCCGGGGGAGTTGTTAAATTCAGCAGCGGCTTTGGCCGAGGCCAGTGCTGATTAGTGGGGAGCCAAAAGCAGATAGAATAGGGTGGTTTGGGTTTTCGGGCGAGAAGCTGTAATTTCGCAGCTCCTCTAATGTCCAAGATGGCCTCCGCCATCCAAAATCCTTTGCAAAGACGTGAGCTTCTCCGTTATGTTATCCAATTTGTGATCAATAGTCCCATCCGTCCATCGTGTAGCCAGCTGCGTACATTCCTGCAGGACATCCCTATCTCTGAGGGACCCATCAGAGAATGAAATGTTGCAGCTACCCCCCCCCCCTCCACCCAGACCTTAATTCCTAGCTACTTAAGCGATCACACATTAGTGTCTGGGGGGGGAGGGGGGGGTCTCTCGCTCTGCTCTATTTTCATTTGGGGGTCCCTGGTTTAGAAAAGGATTAAAATAAAAACCCGATATAATTTCTATAAGGACATTATCTGCAGGGAACCTCAGACTAGGTTTGTTTGTGTCCAGCAGATCACGTTGCCCTTTCCAGTTACGCTGATTTATTATCACGAATTGCGCTGCAGTGGTGCAATGTTGAAATGTTGTGGGTGGGTGGGTGCCCCGGAGGGGGCGGGACAGTGAGATGTAAGGACTTTATTACTCAACATGACAGCACAAAAGAAAGACAGACCCAAACATTCCCGCTAAACAGCTTAAAACAAAACCTCTGACTCGACGAAACGCCACTCAGCTGGCATACATTAGTTGATGGATTTGTGAACCTGGCGCTGGTGATCGATCGTCATGGATACGCCGGCGATGAGGTTAATACCGCCCCCTGGCTGTCATTCTATCCCCCACCAGCTCCTAGTACATTTTTTAACTTAATATTAGAAAACCATTCCCCGGTGACATCTCTCATGTTTAGATGTACCTCATATTCAGCTGACACGCGATAACAGGTTTTGTGCCCATTGGAATGAGAGAGGAGAACTTGAGGTAAACAAAGACACGACAAGCATTCAATAAGCATCAGGATGTGTCCGGCCCTGTGTGTTTAAAACTCCTAGGTCTTAGTGGAACCTCATACAGGACATTGAACCTGAGATGGAAACACTTGGATAGCTGTGGATAAAAGCCCGACGGGGCACGGGTGTCAGAGCCATCATCCCTTGGCAGATTTTCATTTTCCTTGTAGCTAAAAAGGCCTGCCTGTTGTCAGATGAGCTCGCTGGTGGGGCTTTGGGCCATCATGGATAATAGATGAGGATGCTGCCTGCCACATGTGAGGGCATGAGGTCCAGGCCCCCCTGAGCTGGCCCTGGGTGCCCTCAGCGCCGCCTGTCAGAAATTTGCTGCAAATGCAGCGCGTGTCCTGCGCTGGACCCAAAATCCTATTACCTTGGTACTTTTTTATGCTTCAGCCTTAATGATTTCAATACCCTCTACCGTTAGACCACAACCTCATCGTTTACTTTAACAGGTTAAACGCAATACAGGCAGTCCTCCCGTACGAACAACATCCATTGCCTAAGTCTGTCTTTATGTCGAATTTATAGGTAAGTCGGAACAATAATAATACAGTGCATGTAATAACAATAATGACAGAATAATAATAATACAGTGCATGTAATAACAATAACGACAGAATAATAATAATGCAGTGCATGTAATAAGAATAGCAACAGAGTAATAATAATATGGTGTATGTAATAACAATAACGACAGAGTAATAATAATGCAGTGCATGTAATAACAATAACGACAAAGTAATAATAATACAGTGCATGTAATAAGAATAACAACAGAGTAATAATAATATGGTGTATGTAATAACAATAACGACAGAGTAATAATGCAGTGCATGTAATAACAATAACGACAAAGTAATAATAATACAGTGCATGTAATAAGAATAACAACAGAGTAATAATAATATTGTGCATGTAATAACAATAACGACAGAGTAATAATAATACGGTGCATGTAATAACAATAATGACAGAGTAATAATAATAGTACCTCCATGAAGTACTGTGCTGAACCTTGAACCGATGAACTGCTGAAGCTGCGTAATGTTTTCATGAATGTCACAAGGTAGTGCATGCATTCATAAATAGCAACCATAGTATTTATAATAGACTTTTATAAGGGTGGTCTGTTCTTAAGTACAGAAAAATATAATTACACAGAGATCTGTGGTTTCTTTTTCAAAATTCTTTAATCTCACTGGTTTTTCTAATGAAGTGTACCTGCTGTACTGGCTGTACTGGTCCCTGGACTCTTCGCTCCCCCCCTTTATGTATCTCCTCTCACCTCCCACTGCCTCTTTCCTGTCACCGTGTGGAGGGCAGGAGGAGCCGCTCACCGCCAGCTCCTCTCACACTGCGATTCCGTCAGAGGGAATAAAAGCGGACTGACTTGTGAATTGCCCAGACTGTTATTTATTTAAAGAAAAACAAGCAGGAGACCGCCACCAGTGTCAGTTGCATGTACAGTGGTCTGTGTGCTCTAGCCATCTTGTCCCAACTAATCATATCTGTTAAAGTAGCTTCAGTGCCCTGTCCATTGCCCCCTACTGGACAGGTGTGTGAACCGGCAGACATGCCTGGGTGCCACGCCCCTCTACCTGGCCTGCCAGGCGGGCCACCTGCACGTGGTGGAGTATCTGGTGAAGGACTGTGGGGCTGACGTCCACCTGAGGGCCCATGACGGCATGACGGTCCTGCAAGCCGCAGCTCACATGGGTCATTACGCGCTGGTCGTCTGGCTGGTGGGTAGCCATTTTAGCACCAAACTCCATTATAGTACAGTATAGCCCCTCTTCGGGGTCATAAGTGAAATGTGATTAACCTGGGAGTCGCCTCGTCATTATGACGGCCTGATCAGATGGGGCGCCCCCTGGTGGCCGCAGTACCCTAAGCAGCACCTTGGTTTGCTTATGCTCTGCCACTGTGGTAACCATGGTCTACTGGTGAAGACATCTCAGGGCTGGGTCGTGCACAGGAACCAGTTCAGATTAATATAATAAGTAATCATGCTGATGTCCACCTGAGGGGGGCGGTGTGTAACTCAGCAGGTCAGGACACTGTGCCAGTGATTGGGTCACTGGTTCGAATGCCAGCTGAATAATTTCACTGTTGGACCCCTGAGCAAGAATTTTAACCTTCGATTGCTCCAGAGACTGTCTGTTGTACATCACATTGAATAAGAATGAAAAGTAAATGTAAATAAATAATGAGACTCATCTATTAACGCATCCATTAAGTGAGTAGGAATGCTGGGAATCATCAGGGGTTTGTCTGTGTTGCAGTTTAATGTCACACGTCTTCTTCAGACCTCCTTCACAGATGTTAACATCTCCAGCCAAGACAAGGAAGGGGCCACTGCACTGCATTTTGCTGCCAGTGGGGGGCACCAGCGCATCCTTGAGCGACTATTGCGGATGGAGGCGACGGTCTTGAAGGATGGCTTGGGCGGGACCCCTCTGCACAACGCGGCTGAAAACGGGGAGGTGGAGGTGCGTGCCGCCTCACCCATCGGAGTTCGCCTGTGTTGCCGTTGTCAGGGGTACGCTGATTGACCTTTGACCCCTGCTGTTGCCGCCAGTGCTGTCGGCTTCTGGTGGCGCATGGAGTGAGCCTCGCCGAGCGGGATAAAGATGGATTCACGGCGGTGGATTTGGCAGAATACAACGGGCACCATGACTGCGCCAAATACCTTTGGGCTGCCAAGGAATGTGTAAGACAGGCCAAACATTCTATTTGATGCTGCAGGGTTGTGGAGAAGAGGGACCAACCTTATCATTAGCCAATAATATGTTCTGAATTAGTGAATGGCAGGGAACAGGACACTCCTGGGGCCAATTAGCTTTCAGCTGGGGTGAGTGTTCCTGCGGCCCCGCCTCTATTTACACCCCTGCATTGCTGTTGTTCATTCATGATTTGGTTGCTAGGTAACAAACTCTACTTACAAGTGGCAGTCTTTCTCATTGGGTGACCATCTACCATGATCTACAGTCTGCAGGGTAATTAAAGGGCTGCATTTTATGGTAGCCTTAAGAACCAGCTCAACGTCTGTACGCCCATATTTTGGACCGTGATTGGATGTGTTGGATTGGGTAGGCCACAGCAGAGATGTTAAACCCATGTTCCACTGGAACACATGTTCCTGACATGATGAGTTATGACTGGAAGTGGCGAGATCATTCGTGCCATGAGCAATGGCTTGGGGCCATGTGCACACTGGAGAGATCCTCCTTTGTGTCTCACATGGCAGAGGTGTTCCAGGGCCTCAGATAAATATTTCAGGACCATCACCTGTTCCCCAGTCCCTCTTTTAAGAAACTGGATCAGGTAGGTGAGAGGATTAAACTCTTTAGACAGGACCAAATCCAAATCAGGCATGTAGCCACGTAATAAAATATAATGTATAATTGTTTGCTCCTGACCAGGCACGTTGCCAGAATTGAAACATGTATGTTTTATATACACATACATACACAAATTTATAGTCAAGTTCCCTTTACTTGCTTGTAGGCTGCATCACGACAGCAGCTTTTTAGGTGTGAAAGTGCAGTGATGTTCCCCATCAATAGCTTATCCATCTGTTCACTTGACGTCCCATTTTTGAGGAAGCATCTTAAATTTAAGATGTGTATTTCTTTCTCCTTTTCAGTCTGCGTCACCCGGTGGAGAACGTTATAATAATCTTAACATATCCCAGACAGACGTGTAACACAAAGTGACAAACTCCCACCAAGAGCTGAAATACTGTAGGACTGACTGGCAAAGTCAGTTTTATCCAGAGTAGATCATCTCAGATTATATAGAATATATAACTAAGCACTGGGGCATCTTTAGGCAGGCAGTTCAGATGTAAAAAAGAGAAAGAGCGTGAAGTAATAATTGTGGATTTGTACACGTGCAGAGCTGGTAAATATTTTACGCCTTAATGAGTTCCGTGTCATAACCAGCTGTATTAATTACGCGGCCGTGTCGCGCTCATTGTCTGCAAGTCACCGTACTCAGGACAGTAACAGAAGATGGCGGCTTACTGCGCTATGAGTAAATGAAGTCAGGGGGCGGTGTCCGTGGACGGGGTGTGACCTTCTCTCCCTCAAGAAAAGGGGCTAATTAGGTGCCACGGGGCGGTGAGGAGTCCGGGGGTGGGGGCTGGGCCACCGGGGCGCTAGAGAGGAACTGTCATTAGCGGGAGTGTAGGGCTCCGGGCAGCCGCACCTCCTCTGGCTTGGGTTTCAAAGTTCGCTGTGGGGTATTTTTCAGCCCCCCCCCTACCCCCCCCGGAGCAAATGGTCCCAAAAGCCGACCGGGGATACGTGTCCCAAAAGCATATTTGCTACCAACGTTAGCAATTTACATAATTGGAACCATGCAACTGAACATTTCCAACTATGCGAGTTGCTAAAGTGAACTTCTTGCATAGTTGGACCCATTCGGTCGCGTGATTCCAACTATGAAAGTAGTTTTTCAAAAACCGTCTCAGTTCCGTCACAAACCCAAAGCTCAAAACTGGGTCCGTATGTTTAGTGTCATGTTGCTGTTTGTTGGAGGTTTTTCAGATGTTCACCTTCAAGGGATTTCAGCTCCATTTTTGGGGCTTGCAAACCCCCGAGAGTATTGATTTTAAACAGTCAAGCTGTCCGATGAACTTTTAAACAAGCGAAATACTGTAATCAAAATCATAAAATCTGCTCGGGCATTTCCTGAGAATAGCTTCTTAAAAACGTGTCTTAGCTCTTAGAAAATTTCATACTGGGTCCCGCACTGCCGCTAACATAATGATGCATTGGAAGACCAGCCGCTGAGTCGATATAAACAAAATAGGGAAAAAAAGTGAGTGACAGATCAGCCTAACACCACTTCTCATATCGTCTAACATGCATTAATTAGTCAGCTTTTGGGCTTTAAATGGGTGCAGAACATGAACTGCTTCTGTAAGGTAGCAATAGCGTATTTGAAAATGCATATATATTATGAGCATGCATGCAATGCTCAGTGTGATCAAACATCCCTCCATTGTCCTTAACCACTTGTCCCATTCAGGATCACAGGTGTCTGGAGTCTATCCTGGAAGCTATGGGTGCAAGGCAGGGAACAATGCAGCATACACCTTGCAGAGCACACAGATAATTTGGTAATTCCATTTCACCTTCGCATGTTATACCGGGGGAAACAGAAGTACGAGGATAACATACAAACCCCACACACATGAAGTGAGGGCAGAGACTCGAACGCCGGTCCCAGAGGTGCGAACCACTGTGCCCCCGTGCTGCCCTTGTGGTCACATATATTTAACATAATCTTATATGAGAAATTATATATACACACATATATAAGCACATATATAGCTGTGGTAGATAAAAATGCACACATTGTTTGTGAGGTTCTCTAAACTTCCCACCGACTTGCTTGTTTCAGTACATGACGGATTAATGAATTAATCCATCGAAATTGATTAATTTTTTTCCTTTCAAAAGCAACACGTCACGTGTGCAACTGGCACATAATACTGGCGGCAATTGTCGCGATATAGGCAAGAGAGAGGAAAACGGAACGGAAATATTAGAGCGAGAATGTCAGACTTGTGTGGTTTTAAATATTTAAATGTAAAGAAGAACATTGTTTACTCCGCTGAAAAGTGGTTGCTATCTGTAGCAGTAACAGTGCGACAGTGTTCTTTACCGCACAGAAACCAGACACCCTGCTGTACTTGAACATAAACACTAGATGGCGCCAGAAACTGTCCTTAAATATGTAAACCTTACTATTTAATAGAAAAGTTCACTGTGAAGTCAAAGGCACTGTAATATCGTAGATATGCATGATCTTAGTTGATCTTAAATACCACCCAACACTTAACACTGTAAATCAAAAGAAAAGTCAATGGAGGTCAGTGAGCTCACACACTGTTCCATATTCCAAGCATGACTAACTGGAAGGCCTTCCCAGAATCCCATTTAAGGTGGGACAGTGGTCCCTAACTGTTAATTAAGGTGGAACCTTTGTCTTTACTGCTTTATTATGGTGTGACTCTTGCCCCTGTCTGTCCTCAGGGGTACGGACACCAGCTATACACCTTGAAACCATAGTAACAGGCAGGCTGGGAGTCGCAATGCCGGCTTGGGCTGCAGCCGTTAATCAGGAGCTCCTGCTTAGCCGTGCCGCCGAGCAGCCCGCCCGGTGTAAATCAGTTTTGCCGGGTTACAGGAGTACCTGTGCTTTTGTTGGGCGCGTGCCGCTCCACTGCGCAGATCTGTTTCCAGGTCACAGTGCCAAGGTCTGCTTCATGCCTACGGATGGACAGACCTGGATCCGCTGTTACTTTAACTAGCCACAGCGCTCATTGCTGGGGGACAGGGGCGCAGCCGAGCGAGCAGGATACCATGTCCCCTTTCCATGTGGCCTGACAAGGACACCCCCCAGCACCGAGCCCCCGCCCAACTTCTCCTAACACGCGTCCACGTCGGTCTGCTCCGCCATTACCGGCAACCCAATCCCGCTCCCTCAATTATTAAAGTCTTTCTGAGAAGGCCCCCATTTGAGCTTATTGTTTATTGTCTACCGGTCCTTGGGCTCGCAGCCTCGGGCTGGCATGCGGACGGGGTGGCAAAGGCAGAGTGGTACAGGTAGGTCCCGCATACGGTCCTCACAAACACAGACCTCCAGCAGTGGACATACTCTGAGACTCAACCGCTGTAGCCATTGTAAGTAAATCTTTCCTGTTTCCCCAGGAATCTCATCTCCTGCAAGCGTTATTTAACGGGAGGCAAAGTTGAATGAAGTTTGTGCCATAGGAGCGAATGGCTCCCTAGTGCTTTTAAAGCTGACGTAAAGCACCGTGGGTAATTTATAGACAGAAAGGGGCATTTTATGCGTTTAAGTTTTTGACTTTGAATTGATCTTCCTACTTTCTTGTTTCTCCCTTTGATTTGTCACCTTCCATTTGCCTTCAGATCAGATCAAATCTTCTTTTGATTTGTTTTGGGAAAAATTGTATGGAGGAAGAAGCACATGCCAGACCATTTAACCTTAACTCTGACTGTGCCGATTTGTTAAGATGTGCATGTGATTACATACAGGTGCTCAGCAAAAGAAGCCCATACAGTAGAAGACAAATATATTATAAAGATGGTATTTCAATTCTGTGGTGCAGCATGATCGGGTCTGATGGGTCGATGTTTTGTGCAGATATTTCTGGTCTTGTGTTGTATGTGCTGCAAACATTTTTGCTGGTGCTTGGTGTCATGGACGCTGGTGTGGGACTTACGATGCTGCCCCGGTCACTCAGAGTCTCTGATAGGTCAGCACTGGTCAGAGTGTGGGCTTTTACACTGTTTTACCAATGTGCGTAACGCAGGGTGAGCTGCATTTAGACTGTATCTGGGTCTGTGACGGTCTAAGGACAATGCCTGAGATCAGAGACTGTAAATGGTGAAGAATCACCTGAATCACTGGAGCCAGGAATTATAGGGCAATAGGCCGAGACAACCAGACAACAGCCACATCATGGTGTAACCGCAACTATCTTAGCGATAGTTTTAATAGCTAGTCTGCACGCACTTAAATTTAAGATCATTCCAGCTAGATATCCTGTAACAAATTCAGTCGAAGCAGCCAACGAACTCGCTGGACCACCCTCTACACCTTGTTTTCTTCTGCATCAAGAACTTCCTCACTCTAGCTGGCAGGATTCTTTGGAGCTTGCTGAACCGTGGCTCCGCGTCGATCTTACGGGTGGTGATATTTACCCCAAGGAGGAAACCGCTTTGGGTTCCTCTGCAGGATCTGAATGGGAATTACGTGAATATCCGTAACTTTAGGCTAGTGCCACCTGACCTGTGCTATCGGGTGACAACATGCTAAGCTTCCGCTCTACTCTGCTACACTCAGTGGGGTCCCAGATTCAGATTAGTAGAGATCTCTTTGTCTCAATTTTGTTATTTTATGCAAAGCCAATTTTTTTTTGCTAAGGTCTACTCCTGTTTCTCTGAGTTGGCTTGACCAGACTACCCATGAGGCACTTTGCTCTACTGATCAAATTCTAGTGTCATGTGTCTCACTGGAGGTCATGCCACCCAGGAACGTGGGCAGTCCTTCACAGCTGGAAGAGTGTCCAGCCATTTAAAGAGATTATAGCATTCAACCACGGCGCAGTGTTCCAATTCATTACTTTATTTAGCTTGAGGATCAGGGCTGTGATTGCAGGGGTGATAATGGAATCCAGATGTCCCACATTTGCTGGATCAAATTAAACATCGACGAACAAATGAGCCTGTGAGACATTAGCAGTTATGTAAAAGAAAGGCTTTGTTCTATTTAGCCTTGTTAGTAGTTATTTAAAAGAGATAACAAACATTGTGAGTATTAGTTTAGCCCTGCAGTGATGCTGAGCGTCGCTGACGGACCTGAACTGGTTGATGAATACTTCCAGATGAATTAAGTGTCGAACTGTAACTTGTAGGGATTCATGTGCTTCTCCTTGAGGATGCTCCTTTCACATCTATCTTAATGTCACTTCTTTGGCTTCCAAACTCTGCCTAACCAACATGTCTCCGTTTAACTAACGTGTAAAATGCTGTGTTGCAACACTTTTCCAATCTCCTCTGTAAACCCACCAGATGCTGTGTTTGCATATTAGACAGTAAGATGCTCTGCTCTCAGTTCCAGCTGCCTACTAAGGACAGCAGTCAACCAGAGCTCCACCCCACTGAGGCAGGGAGGGAAAGGAAGCCAAAAGTGTCCTGGAGCCCCAGCATAGCTGACTACTGCCTGGACGAGCAGGACCCCTGTAGCAGCATGGAGATCGGCAAGGTGACCAACACACTGCCTGATCCATCCTGCCATGTTTAAAAAGCTCTTTGTAGATTATCAGGGTTGGACATTCTGATTTTGTCAAGTCCGATGTGTCCCTGGGTCAGCAAGGGAGGGGCTTGCGTTTCAATTCTTTAACCAATCACCAGTCATCAGCATATGACATCACTATGTTGGTCCATTTTTTTCACATTTTCAAACTCAAGGCTTCCAGCCATTATGGTAGGAACAGTGTATGGTTCAGTGGGCTAATCTTCTGTGCCTGTGATTGGAAGGTTGCTGGTTCAAGCCTCGTTATTATTATTGTTATTATTACTATTATCACTATGAAATAAAGACACACTCTTACATTGCTCCATACAGCCTTTGCTGATAAGCATATTCGTACATTTCGCGTCCGTGATACGTCCCTAAAGGAAAGGCATACACAATAAGACCGATACTTTAGAAATCTCTGCACCTTGCCGCTTAACAGAGAACACTGCTTTTAATTAATGCGGTGATGTCATACGACGAAGACTGCAATTGGTTAAGGGGATAAAACTCAAGCCCCTCCCCTTGTTGACTCAGCGACACATCGAACTTGGCAAAGTCAGGCCGTGCATCAGGGTTAGGTTAGATGGAGCAGACGGATCGTGACCTAATGACCTCTATGATTCTCAGAAGCCTCTCCAAGCTTCCCTCTCTTGTGCATTACTTTGGGAAGAGGCATCTGCTGAATAAATAAATGTATATGTCCCTCCAGCCTCAGTCTTTACCTTCATCACTAGCTTTACCTTTGACCCCAACCTCTCCCCGGTTTCAGAAGTCAGCAGCAACATCACGCCATCTGCAGCTGGCATCTACTGGTGGGTATCAGTACATTTTCACTGTGCTGTGACCTGTTTTTGTGATTTTTTGATAGTCTTTCTTTTGTTTGTTATTCATCTTGTGTTGCAGTTGTGTCATCTTTAAATGTGATGAAGTCTTCAGAGGAGGAGAAGAGTCAAATGTTGTCCATTAAGTCGTTGAAACATGCAGGGTTGACTGCAGTCTTCAAAGGACAAGCAGTGAGTGGTCGGCTGAGATGAGGAAGGGTGTAATGAGGGGGATGTTGGAGTCGTGTTCCTGATGACTGATCCCTTTACCCTCACAAAAGGTGGACAAACTGGGGCTTCTCCCCGTAGTGGAGACCAACCTGATCGATATTGACTCCCTGGTACCGACCCATGATGAGAAAGGCCAGCCCATTGCAGAGTGGAAACGACAAGTTATGGTGCGAAAACTGCAAGCTCGTCTGCAGGATGAAGAGGACCAGAGGATGAAGGTATCTGTTATCTAGATTTTGGTCATGTTCATGAATCAGTACCTCATAGCAATCATAACAATCAGAGCTCTGAAAACCTCAGCAAAATATAGCCTTAACCTCAAGGGAATCCATTTTATGTATGGTGGCAATTTAACGAATTACTTTGAATGATTTTGGTACTTGAAATTTGAAACGCAATGTTCTTCTTTTTTTGCCAGGAGAACGGAAGCAAGTGTACTGAGATGGACAGCTGGAGATACTCACAGACTCTTAATGCTATTCTTGGTCCATTTGGGGAGCTGCTGACCGAGGACGATTTGGTGTACCTGGAGAAGCAGATCGAGAACGTCTCCATGCAGAAGAGGTGTGAAGCCTATGAGATGGAGTTGGCTCGTCTAGCCGAAGAACTGAGAGCCATCCTTCCGGCGCCCATCGTGAACATTACAGTCAACACACAGTTCAGGCAACCCGACGTGGGTGACCAGGTGCCTTTGCCTGTGTGGTGTAACCGCATATCAGGGATCGTGAAAAGCATGACTCTTCTCCTGACCAACCACACAGACAAGGAGAAAGATGGTGCCATCGGTAAAATGCCCAACACTGAGCTGGCATCTGTTTTCTCCCAAAAGCCCGAAAGGCCCAATTCCTCTAGGGGACAGAGGGCGAAGATTGAAAAGGAGATTCAGCAGTTTGGAGTTTCAGTACGGAACCTGAGGTCCAACTTTGAGAGTCAGCTAGGGGGAGGCATTAATAATGAATCACATACGCCGAAGAAACGCAGAAACCAAATTAAGAACCAAACGGCCAACCAGGAGGATGGCTTTAACAAGCGAACGGAAAAGCAGGAAAATGATGTAAACAATTGGAGTCACATGGCTGTTGAAGAGGGCGGCCAGCTCAAAGAAGTAGACCGTACCAGCGATTCGGGGATAAGCAGTGAGGAGACACAGGCAGATGACCCTGGGGCAGTAATAGAGACCACCAGCTTGCGCAAAGAACGGATTGTACTCTTGTTCCTGGGTCACTGGAAAAAGTCAGCATATGCCATTAGCCTGAGAAGTAGAGGAAAACCGGGATTGACTTGTAAAGACACAACGGAAGGGGCAGAGGAAACTGAAAAAGAGCAAACATCTCAAGAGCCACAGCCCACGAGAACCATGGAGAAGGGCTCCTTGAGCCACCTCTTCAGGCAAAGGACCACCATCAATAAGATGATTGGCAACTGGAGGAGCCTTATCTCCAGTGTTCCATCCAGGCAGCTACATCGCCTACATCAGCAGAAAGTCACTTATTCCCCTGAGCAGTTCCTGCCATGTGTGGGTGGGACGCCTGTGGACTACAATAGCCTGACCCTTGACCTCTTCATGCTAGGTTACTTTCACATCCTGGAGCAGGAGTTGTCGGCAGAGGAGAGGAAGATGAGGCACCTGCTCTGCTTTGAGGTCTTCGACCACGTCGGCCGGTTCAGCTGGGAGACGGTGCGGGAGTTCCATCGAGCGGTCCTCCAGGATATCGAGGCTGGCAGGAGAGAGTGGAGGGACGGCTTTGAGGACATCAAGGCCAAGTTTTTCGGGAATGCGCCAAGGCAGTTAGAGCTATTGTGTGAGCCGAGTAAGCCTGAGCTGCCAGAACCGAGAGAGCTGCCCAAGGTCATCGTGCAGACGGCCACGCCAGATGAGGATGACCTGATGGGCAACCATGTGGACATTTCTTGTTTCAGCAATGATGAGATTTGCAAGTACATTGATCGTAGTTTCGCTTTCTGGAAGGAGAAAGAGGCAGAACTCTTTGATTTTGAGCAGTAGTCGATCGACTTCTCTTCCTGTCTTTTTGATATTTTTTTATGATGCCTTAGCCTCTCCAGTCCTTTGCAAACCTTGACTGAATGTGTCACAGGTGAAATGACAGGATGCCTTGTTTGAATATGGTTTGAATTTGTGTGCCGCTTTGCTTGGCATTTGGCAACCTGTTTTAATAATGCTAGTATATAGCTGAGCCTGTAGATACCACGTTATTGTTACACCGTTTTATGATTTGGCTGCTGTCTGCTTGTCTGCAGCCGTGTGCCTCTGTGGGGATTGAACGTCAAGGTGCCGGAAGAGCAACAAAGCATAAGACCGTAACAATAACAGAGTATTTAGTGAATGTATTTGCTGCAGATATGTGTATATATGGATTGTTTTGAGGTCAGAATGGAATTTGCTCAGTTGCTGATTCTGACACAAGAATAATGAGAAGGACAAACAGACCGGCTGAATCGCGAGTCTCCCTTATGGAAAATGCTATTAAAACCACTGGCAGCTGAATCATTTGATAACAGACTTATCCATCGATGCGATGGACTAGTTTTGTCACAAAAACTGTCACTTCCTGCCGTCGTCGGGCAGAAACACTAGAGATCGATGGTGTAGTGATGTGTATTTTCAGGCTGCGTTGGCACTTAAAAATGGCTTCCATTCATTTATCTTCAAATTCTACCATGGTTAATATTTTATATATTACTTACTAGGGAGAGTTCAATGTAAAAATGACTGCAAATAAATTTATTAATGCAGCGTTGAATATATCTTTGCTATTCGTCTGCAAAAATGACTGTTTTACTGCATTTTTTTGGGGGTGGGGGTTAGGAGGATAATGTTGTGGGGGCTTCTACTGTATGTATTTACACCAGCTGAAAAATGGAAAAATGTATTTTTATTTTATGTTTACTGTAAATGATTCACATGGTCGTTACGAACCTGCTATGAATTACAGGCGCTTGAAGGCTCCCAGAAACAATCGAGGTCCTGTTCGTAGACCCCGGTGGACCTTGGGAGTCACAGAAAAGTTCATCCAAGCAGTTTCACTGTCAGGAAGCTTAAAGAAAGAGAGAATAGAGAGGAGATGGCCGTTCTCTCTGGAGGAAGTGACAGAACACCTCTGCTGAGGCTCTGCCTGGTCTTGGTTCGCCATGGAAACAGTTGGGCTAACCTTCTATTTCCATAGCAACCACCCAGAATTATGTCAGGAGCCTTTAGGTGAACCTGTGTTTGGTGTCTAGCAGTGTTAGCTGCATTATAAAAACAGGTTGTTCAGAAACACTTTGGGGGGGGGGGGGGGTTTAACATATCAAATAAAATATCAAATCTGTGGAACAGTAACTTTTAATTCAAGTACTGTATGCAGCATGTGTCTTATATAGCATTTTTGTTGAATTTATTCTTTTACAATTTTAAAGTAAGTGAATTAGTTGTCTCTAAGTGGGCCCATAATTTTCTCTTCATGGTTCAGGCGCACAACCATGGATGCAGTTTTTTTTTTTGCTGCCCCCTACGGGCCAAATGCTGCCATGGTGAGCACATGGAGAGCAGCTGCACCTGCTGGAAGGACCACCCAGTGACAAAGGGAGATCTCCACTTTTGCTTTCTTCTTTTGGCATCTATTCCAGCTGTCCTTCCTCTGAGATCGCGGGCTTTGGTCTTAATGGGCCGCCCTGATTCAGACCTTCCAGGGAGAAGCTACTGCTTCCGCTGCACTCTGCCCTCGTCTTCCCTTCAGTTTTTAAATCCTTTATTTTATTGTGGTCTCCAAGATTTTTTTTTCAACACCTCTTAAGAAATGGCAGAGTTCTGCCCGCCTGTAGTAATAGTGTTTCATACAGCAGAAATATCACTTATCTTTCTAATTGCAGTTCATGAGGATCATAAGTAAGCCCTGATCCTGTGGCAACAACCCAGTCAATTGGCTGGAAATGTTATGCTGGTTGTGCCAGCCAATGGAATGTGCTGAATTTCGAGCCAATGAGTGTGCAGGCAGAGGAACAGGCCTGAGAGCAGCTGTTGGGCTTTATTGCTCACAGGGCATGTCCTGCTGCAAAAGAAACAATGACACAGGGGTAGGATCTGTACAAATTTAATGTTTAAGTAACAGTTGTTTACATGCCCTTGTCCAGGGCTAAGCAAAGAAAAACTACATTTATTTTTATTTATTACTATTATTGTGTTTTTTGTTGCAATTTTACATCCTCAGTTATTGTACTGCCTGGATGGGGAATACATTTCGTTATGGGACCAGTCTGCGGCAGTCGCAAAAGCTATCATGTACTGTACCATTAGTGTATCCGTCACAGGTTTTACTGTACAACATTAAAATACCCATATAGGGAACCAACTGGTTGGTGGGGAAGGATTCCGCAAATTGGAATATCAGTGGGATCTGCAGTAAATGCATAGGTGTCGTTTCAGAGGTTCATGTCACAATAAGGACTTGGTACATTTGGGTAAAACATAACTTACTGGCTTTCACATTTTCAGTTGACCCATCCAGTACTTCTAGAAATAGTACAGGTTGGGGAGTGTGTGAGTAGGGATTAGATGGATTAGTTTCTAATTAGTTATAGTTTATTTGCTTTTAACAAGAATTACTTTTGTTGAAGATACTTGGAATTATACCCATTTTCACCATTAGATATGCAGAGGAGTAGCACACTTTACTCCGTGGTACAGCAAGGACTCCTCCTGGGGCCAATAGCAAACCTCCTGGGACCAACAACAAACCTCCTGGGACCAATAGCGAACCTCCTGGGTGCAATGGAAAAACCTCCTGGGACCAATAGCGAACCTCCTGGGTGCAATGGAAAAACCTCCTGGGTCCAATGGCAAACTATGGAGACCACGTCAGTTATTTTCACTTTTTAAAGAACCATTTTACACCTGTCCAAATTAGCCCCCACGTCAGTGTGCTATCTGTGTTGAACAAATGTTCTCCAGAAATCTTATTTCTTCCTGTAGTACAGAGATATGAAGTTATGCAAAAGGTATTTTATTGATTACCCATACCTCGTGACTGCCTTGCGATGGACTAGCGTTAGTTCCAGGATGTATCCCTGCCTCGTGCTCTACGGTAGCTATGACAGACTCCTTGCGCTAGATCGAAGTTACAACTACATCCCCCTATATACGTCAAATTTGCAGGCTGTTAATAAACTTTTTTCGCGAGTAGGTGCATAGCTACAAAAATAAAACAAGTTATTTACGGAGTTAAGTGCAGCGCAATGTCTCCAAAACTCCACAAGGTGGCACTGTTAATTCTGCATTGCGAACGGGACGCATTTAAAGAACAGAATGTAAATCACATTTATTGGTTTAGTAAGGGATTCCTTCAAGAGTTCTGCGTAGGGGAAGTAATAAGAAAAAATGAAATACACCGCATGGATCTGGATAAAAACATGAGAATGATAAATTTGAATTCAGTATTAGTAGCCGCATCTTATCAGCTTCAGAAGAAAATGAATCTGTCACATGTTTCTGTTATATTTAAAATACACAACTGCTTTTGGTGCGGAATTATATTTTTTATAATTGAAGATAGAAAACAGCAAAAGTTAAAGGCATTAATGTATTGCACAGATAAACAAAGAGGCAAACAAGTAGGAGGTGTTTCGAAAAGTATATCGAAAAGTATAATTAAAAAACAAATGTTTTTTTGGGTTTTTATGTATTTTCGACGTTTAGAATTCAGTCGCAACGGGAGCGCGCCTAATATGCCGGCGCAACACTGCGTGCTCGTACCCGGATCACTCCCCCCTCCCCAACCCCCCTCAACTTTGGTTGCGGGTTAAAGAAGAGACGATGAGGGGAAACCGCCGCGCATTACTTGGAGACAAATCATTACTAAAGCATTTTTAGCTTTTATTAATGCCTGCGCCAACGCGATAAAAAGAAAAGAGAGTAGAAGCTAAAGTGTAGGGGGGGGGGGACTGCTCCATTTTCCCCCTAAAAACGTGGCCCTCCCCCGCACATTCAGCGGGGGTTGGTGAAGTTTGCAAGCTGGCAGGAGGAAAAATCGGGACAGAGAAGCGGGGAGAGGATATAGGGGAAGGCGAGCCATCACGGACTATGCTGCGGCTGGGGTGGAAACTTCGCGTGCGGGGCCGCTGAAAGTTACGAAGAGGCGCCTCGGGAGCCCCGGCGGCTGGCGGAGACTGGCGGAGACTCCGGGGGACTCGCGTTTACGGGCAATGCGGCTGGCGGCGCCGATTCGCCGCTACGGCGGCGGGTCAGATCCGTCGGGCTGGCCGCGGTGGGGGCGGCGGCGCCGGCGGTGCCTTTTCTTCCTCCTGCTCCTGCTGGAGGCGGCCGCCTGCCTCGCCAACCCCGGCGCTCCGGCGATAGACAACGGCGACCGGCCCAGCGTCAACGTCTACATGGGCGAAGAAGAGGTGAAGACGCTCCTAGGTGAGCGCCGCTGCCATCGCACGCTTCTGCCCCCCATTATCGCCCGTGGGGTTTGTTTTAGAGGAAAGTGGAAGTTTGCGGTTTTATTGCATTGCGGGGGATCGCGGCCGAACGTAGGAGCCACGCCGCCGCTCGGCAGTACTCTAATGTGTCCTAATGGACGCCCCACTGCAACAAAGTCGCACTTAACAAACTTCTTATTTGTAACATTGAGTTATTTTGTTTTTTTAAGAAACAAAGGAAATAATTTTATTTGTAGTCAACGTTTAGCTCCCCGATGCTTTGATTTTACGACGATGTTACTATTAACAAGTTGGGAGTCCATGCGTACGGCCGCAGGATCTTCGTTCTCGGGTTTGGGCAGGATTTGGCATCGGATTTGCTTTACAAGTGACCCACGACACGCAATGGCCAGATTTGATCAGTCCTAAAACTATGGTAAATATTCCAGTAACGCAGAATCGCCGGCCGCCAGACTGCCGCGGCATGTTTATTAATGTGAGGTAGTCAATATTTACCCGTTCACGGATTTTTTTCACCCTTTTTAAAGCCACGTAAGTGCTTTGATGGATGGCTCGTTTGTTTGTTTATGCACACACGCCTTAACCATCAACACGAGAGCTTGCAGATGCCAAATGCTTTCGAAAGGAGTAGAAAAGCAATTCATTTGAAAAGAGAGAATGTATTTAGGGGCCTGAAGACTGCCGATGTTGGACCGTATTTTTATTTTAATTTTTTTTGTGTTGCGTAGCTATAAACGGATTGCCTTTTTGGTGACATTGATTGGGTGTTCTTTAGAAGGAATATTTTTGTTGTGTTATATAGTTTAGTTAGAGTTGTTTAGTTTTGCACAGAGTAACTGCTTTCAGGTCCTAATTTCCATCGGAGGCATGGGTTTCAATCCCACTTCTGACAGGAAACTTAAAATCTGTGCTTCATGTGGCAGCATATATAGGTCTAATAAAAAAAACCAAGAATGATGCAGAGGAGATTCGTATGACTTCTACAGGGGTGACACGCAAATTAGTGAAGTGTTCCATATTCCTGAGGACAGTGTGTGGTTCAGTGGGTTGAAATCCAGTGCCCAGGATCAGATGGTTGCTGGCTCAAATCCCAAGGTCAGCAGGGTGTTTTTACCGTTGGGCTCTTAACCCATGGGTGTAATTTCCAGGGGGGTTAGGGGGGGGGGGTTGCCCCCCCCCA